CAGACCAATAAGACGACACACTTTGTAGGTTATGCAGGTAAAGCCAGGTCCGTCCGACACTAACGCGCGTAAGCGACTAACTGTTATAGGCATGAATTACTGCTCACATAATGCTGAATGTTAGAGAGCTTATAGCCGCAATCGATTTCTTAAAGAATGACCAAACGCTTACTGACGTTGACAACCGCGGCTGGTGTCAAGGTGCAAACAAAAGTGCTTCCTCCTATACGCGACGTGACCTATACGAGGTTGTTGGAAGCGCGGATAAAGCTGGCTTCACACCGAAAGGGCACGTCTCGGTAGGCAAGCGTTGCGTCAGCAGCCATTTATCGCGCGTACCACGGTATTTCAACTACGAAACTTGCCACACATCCCTGCTCCTCTTTTCTTCTCTTCCTCCACGCGCTTCTCGTCGCAAGGGCGAAGCGTATTCTACCCGCGACGTCGAAATGTATGCTGGGTAGTATTTCTAAACGAAAAGACAGTAGCGAGACTGCATTAATGCACGAAGATCCGGAGAAAAGGCAATGGGACGACGCAAAGCGGGAGAAAATTTCCGTATGCAAAGTGTAGTCGCATAGTGTTGTGTAAGTGGCGCCGTGAAATTTACACAGTGCGTATTCCACGGCTTATAAAGTTAAAAGAACGGCCGTATTAAGGTAACGGCCTTTATTATGGGCCGAGTCTCAATTTCAGGTGACACTTGATTCATTAATATAATAAAATTAGTACACGTTATAATAAAAACACGAGAAACATTTTTTTTACATACTTTAGTTTTTTTACAGATGCACTCGTTGATTATATTCACTAATGTTATAAGCCTTAACAAGACTTAATATCTGTTGTACCAAGGCTTGGTATCTATACTATACTAAAAAAAGGATTTGATTGACGAAACTAGAATTTAGTTAAATTAGGATCAACCAAATATATGCTAATTACAACTAAAAAATTTAATTGCCGCTATTTTGCTTTACTTTCTCAGTAATAGCAAGTAAAAGCGAAATAAAAATTAAGTTTTTTTAATTCCAATTATCAAACATTTGGTTGATCCTACCAAATCTTGATCTTATTTGACCAAATTTTGATTTTAACCACCAAATCCTTCTTTCAGTGTAAAACCTGCTAACTGGATAATTGTGTGATCAATTTGTGATACGTATTATAAAATAATTTTTGCAAAATAGAACCATACTGTTTAGTAATGCTTACCACATTATGGTCTGGATGAATTTTTAGAGTTTAGTCTATTTAAAAAGTTGTAGAATTAAAACTATGACATTTGTTGCTTATATTGGTATTAACAATTTTAATGTTTAATCGTTTTAATTTGTGTAAATGAATGAAAGTTAGATTAACCTCTTAAATGACCCATAATTAGGACTGTTACCTTAAAACTGAAGTCCCCCGAGTGCTTCGATTCTCTCGGGATAGACGCGCCTTCCGCTTTATCTTGCATCGCTATTTCGTCGCTGCCTCCCTTTCTCTCCCCCTCTCTCTCTCTCTCTCTTTCCCCTCTTTTTCTGTAGAGAGGTTAATTTAACTCGATGCAATTTATCGGAAAGTCAATCGATACACTGCACACGAGTCGGCTGCGCGCTCGCGCCGCCCGCTCATGCATTCAAGCCGGATTCAACTTTCATTATTAAAAGTAAGTTTGACCGAAATTCGCGCCGGCTCCGCCGCCGTTAATATTTCACACCCTCGCGAAAAAGTAAACGGACACTGTTTTAACGACTCCACTTCGCCCGGTTCGCAATCGCCTCCACACGTACGTACGTACGTATGTTACCGCTACATTACTCCCTCATCGATTTTCTTTCAGCCGGAATAACTTGTGGTTGCCATTTAATCGCCGGCTTCTTAAAAATAGCATCGGATTATTAATTAGCGGCCGGGCCGGTGTCTATAAACCGCAATAACCCACATTCGCGCAGGAAGCAAGAATCCAGCGTTACTGATTCTTCCGCTCCGATTACGCGTCTCGTGATACACGGCCGCCTCCTTCTTTCTCCGCGCGCGCCCCGATTATTTTGTTCTCTTAATGATTTTACTCCGACCGGAATGATTTAATCGTATTATCTACGCGATCCCATTGCCCCCGATCGGCCGGCCTGCCGAGATAGCGCGCAGCGCTTCCCGTTAAGCGAAAGATCACATTACTCTGCCGCGCGCGTTACAAAAGGTGAGATTTATTTATCCGGCTGTTTAAGCGCAACCGGAGGGAACGACCCGCGCAATTCGTCATCGCTAAAAGTGTAACGAGCTCGTGCTATCTAGCCCCGTATGAAAAAAATCCCTTTAGATCATCGCGCTTGACAAAAAATGCGAAAGGTCGCTCCGGCAAGTGTGCGTGCGGATGCGTGCGTGTTTGAGTGTAACGACCTGTTCTGTAACGAGAAAACTAAGCTGAAACCGATTAAAACGACCCGCAAGCTTATTATACCGATGCCAATTTGAGCTAACGACCAAAGCGTTTCCGCCAGAAATTAGCCGGAACCGAGCCGGTTCAACGGTTTTCCCGCCGCTTTTGCCAGAAGATTCTCCCCTGATCCTCGATAAAAAAAAAAAGTGAAAAAAAATGGTCATCATAATTCAACGGTTTACTTTGGCAAAGAGCATCAATACGGGTATAGACTCGATTCGTTCGATATTCCGAGGAGGAGAGATGTAATTTGAAAAAAAATCGGGGTGCCACGGTGGTCGAGTTATTAGCGCGATAAAAACGCATCATGCACGACTGCCAATACCAATACCGATATCAATATCAATAGTGGACCGGTGCTCTTGCTATAAGTGTGCGCAGCAAAAGTTCCATAAGTTTAAAACACGCACTCGATCCATTTTTCCAGTGGGATTGCGTTTAACACGAGTGCTACGCGCTAAACCGTCGATACGCGGTCGTGCAGCGTCATAAAGCAAACGTGATTGTTTTCGCGCGAGTGTTTTCTACAAAATAAAACAAAACGAAACAGAATACACACACATACATAATAAAATCGATAAAGAAACAAAATACTCAATTATTCTTCGTAGTTCACGAGTATAAATAGATTTGGACTAAATTTCGGAAATCTGGTATCTCTTCTTCGAGAGTCTCCGTCTCTGCTGATAATGTATGCTTGTGGTCTCTGAGAAATATTAAATTAGAGTAAAAAGTTTGTCGTGTTTGTCAAATCAATAAAAAAGAAAAATTATCTAATTTCAACGGATTGACAAAACATTAATTTAAAAAAAAGCTGTTTATCACATGTGTGTGATATCATTAAAATTATATAATTTATACGGTATATTTTTTACATTGAAAATATTAGAAATGTGAATAAGTTTTTTACCCAGACTTTTCTAGTAATATGATATTAAGTTAATTAAAATATGATTTAAATTAATTAATTCAAGTTTCAAGGAAATTTATTTACTGTACAGAGAGAATATTATAGTTTATAGTTTATAGTCATATAAATTCTTATATTATATTATAGTTTATAGTCATGTAAATTCTTTTCAATTTTATTATATTTTTAGTCCATATTGAACAGACTGTCAATAAGGCTTATCTTGCTAAGGAACAGAGTAAATTTCGTTAGAAACCTAGCAAATTTCGTTAGAAACATAGCAAGTGTTTTAATAATACATTTCACTTTTTGAAATATAAAACGAAAGGATAGAGAATTAATGCAGAATTTCAATCTATTGTTTGGTTACACAATCCTATATAATATTTATTGTAAAATTCCCTCCACATATTTACATGGTGAAACAAATTTTTTAAATTTAATATTCCTATTTAATTATATAATCTTAATTTGTTTGATTTAATAAAATAATTTTATATTATAATAATATCATAATAATATATCGTAGTAATTTTATATCATAATTTTTTATCCTAAATATTATTTTGTTTTATTAGATTAGAATCATATGTTAAATTTCAGGTGATTGTTTAAAAAAAACGGTATATGACGTTGAAATTCCGAGTTCTTTTCCGAATTGTACACATAAAAATACATAAGAAATACATCCGAAATTCCATGGTGACAAATCACCTGTCATTCAGTGTAATTGTTGCGAATGAAACAAACAACATCGACTCGGTGTTTTTTTAGACATTTATATACTTCTCCTATTTTCCTACTCCGGTACTCAAACTTTCTACGAGAATTTAAGTTCTTTGTTTTAATGAAAATTCCGTCAACATAAACATAAAAAAATTACGAATTTGTTGCATCAACTCAATAATTCCAGGCATCTCGCATTTTACCATGAAGAACGGTCGACTTTTTAGCCGTGTGTCGGTAATTACCGAACATTCCGTACACCACTGGCGCTGGCACCGGTTGCGTTTTGATACACACGCACGCCGTGGATACTATATACATACACACACACACACACACACACACACACACATATATGTATGTATATATATAGTTATGCGCTCCGTCTGTGCCACCGGTATTGTATAGCATGACTAATTATACTTCAACCCGCGGCGGATCTCGTTGCCTGGTTCCACGAGAGGCGGAAAGCACCCTATTAAAGCTCGAGCTTCGGCCACCCACCCCTCCACGAGAGGAAGACCGCGAGACGTCGATACGAGTGCGCCAGGCGTAAGAAAGGATGGCGGGCGGGCGAATGTCTACCATTTCATGCACCCTTTCTCTCTCTCTCTCTCTCTCTCTCTTTAATCCCTGGATCTCTCTACTTTGTTTTGCAGCCGTTTCTCTGTTCCCCATTCCCGCTTCACTCTTCGTCACGGCGAGAGTTGGTGTAGCCTACTTTTGGCACCCTTCTCGACGACGTCGGGCGCGCGCGCATCTGCTTAAAGATGCCTGGAGTAGTTTTTCGATCTCTCTTGAGTGACGGAGCATCATCGAATAATGAAGAAAATTTCACGAAACATCCGCAAGAGAAGAGTGAGAGAGGGAGGCGTCGTGCTTGAGGCTGAGGAAATGACGGGACATACGTTTAGGACGAAATCAAAACGCCATCGGTTTACGTTTTGAATCTTTTAAGTATTTATTTAAACAAATCCCAACATTCCAAACATTGATAGATGTATATACGTATGGGGGTGTTTTTCGTGTCTCCGCTCGCCACAGACGCGATGTAGATTGCGACGGCGTTTTGCAAATTCGCCTTTGTCAATCTACCTTACGTCCGTACTTTCCTCTTCGTTAATTTCGTATATGTATATACAGGCTAGCCGCGCGCACGCGCGCGTATGTATGTCACGTGTATGTGTAGATGTGCGTGTGTGTGTGTGTCTATGTGTGTGTGTGTGTGTGTGTGTGTGTATGTCTATAGAATCACACCGCCGCTTCTTTCATCCGCGGACCTCTTGTTAATCTCGAGGTCGAGCGTTTCATAATGAAAATTCCTGCGAATATTAATAGCAAGCCATTTTTATACTCCATTGGAGTTCTCTGTTGAAACAAAATCATATTTAACAATTAACAGGAAGGAAATATTTTGCCGACTGTTGACGATTTTTTGTATTAATTGGCATCTTCGTCCCCCAGAAGACTTCCACTCGGGAAGCTCAGTTACGAAGACCGGTATTTCGGAGTCTTTATTGAGAAGAAAGAATCTCCGTCAGTGGAAAATCCGCGAACGAAAGAAGTGGCGGCAGTCAAAGAGGCTCTGACGAGGCTCGATCGCCTTGGCCGCGCAAATGACAATGAAACTTAACCCTTTCTTCGAGTTACGATGCAAATGAAGCTAATTTAACGATCGTATCCAAATTCGACGAACAACAACTGTTTGGTTACCATGACGTTTCTCGGATCCTCGATCGAACAATTCACCCCGACTCACAGGGCGCATTCGATTACTTATTGGCGGTACGCGCCCTCAAGATCGAACAACATCCTTTGCCGGTAGGTGACAACGCACGCGAGTGCAATCGAATTAATTAATGGCGAGTTTCCCGTGACTAGATTAATTAGTAGTTAGGTTTACTTACGGTGGCCCCTCGCGCGGTTCTCTTTCTCATTTGCTCGAAAAGTCTTACGGTCGAAGAAGTGCTTATGACCAGCGGAGTATATCATTACGACGTCACCTTTGTGGCAAATTATTTCGACAGTCGATATACAAGTGTCTCTCGACAGTGGTATTCGATCGGACTCGTCGATTGTTGAGTTCGCGTGTCAATAGCCGAGCGACACCTGGCGCATCTAAGCACCCCACCGGCGAAAAAGATAAATTAGAACGGGCCCGGATATTTGTCGCCTTTTAAGTATCGTACTTCCAATATTCGCAACAGGTGACTCTCGAAGAGACTGAATTCAGTTGCAAACTAATCTACACACTTTTTATCGAAAGAAGTTGCATCGCTACAAATTGTCAAAATTGAAAGCCACTGCTGACGTGTATGCACAGCAATCAGTTATGACAGGAGCCAAAGTGATAATACATAGTGTAAATATTAACCTTTTAGTACACTTTTATCTGATAAAGAAGAATATAACAGAGATACTTGTATTTTTCCTCATGGAGAATACTAGGAATATCATTTAGCTAAATGTGGGTGCCGTAACAAAATATTAATATTGTGTTTTCGCCCATGTATACAAAAAGATAGAAACAGTATTCTGAATGTAATATATTGGCTTTCTTTATTGTCTATTTATACGTGTTTGAGTAGAATTTTCGATGTTTCAGTGCTCTCAACATATAGAAAAAATAAATATATACGGTGCACATAACAAGAAATATTTAGTTGTGAGCAGTATAGTTACATCAACCTAGTTATCTTTGTGTGATAGTAATGTATATGAATGATATGACTCAGTTACTTTAGTACACCAACTATATAAATGTAGTTGCGTGTGAGCTGGTTGTGGTAACCAGAAATCGGTCAAAGTAACATTTATCATGGATATCTTGGAACAACCATCCACACAATACTTAAAAACGTCTTTCAGACGACAGAACATAAAATGTCTTTTAGACGTCTTATGTCCTGATTTTGGACTTTGTATTGTATAGGAAGATCGTTACTGCTGCAACGCCAGTAACTTAGCAATTGTTCTATACACTGCAAATCCGAGTGTGTTATTTTTAAATACATAAATGTGTAATTGGCTGAATCTATTTTTACATGTTTCTTATCGTTTCAAATCGCGTTATTTAACACACTCTAACGTATAAAATTCTAATTTATACATTATAAACGTGTTAAGTGACGTGATTTAAAATCGCAAAAGACGTATGAAAAGAGTTTCAGTCAATTACACGTTTATGTATTTAAGAATAACACACTCGGATTTGCAGTTGCAACAACCGCATAGTTCGCAGTGTTCCATATTTTACAGTTGAATCTGTTTGGCACAACCAGATTTATGTGTGAGCCAACTATAATATTTTTGTACGTGTAGTATTCGGTCTGCAGACGATAACGGCACATTCTTTTAGTTGATGTAACTATATATGCGAATATACTGATTAAACATTACATATTATAATAACTGTGGTTATTAGAACTGCATATAAATGAGGATATAACAATAACAATTTTTAATGTATCTATTTTTAATGTATCTATTTACCTTGAATTCACATAAATTTTTTAATCATATAAAATAACCATATAAAATCACATAAAACTCATAGAAAATGTGATTGTGGCAATCATAATAGTTATCTCCTTGTTGAATCTTTTGCTGCAATTGTGATGTCGGATATCTCATATATTTTCACTTCGACTTCTGTCATAATAGATTATCACGCAAGCTCGTGAATAGTGATTTATAGTTATGACTATTTGATGCGTTCTTAACCTCATCGGCAAGAATGTATTCATTTGGTTTCAGTACAGTATGAATAATGTTCTTTTGAATGCAGTTTTTGGAACACCGATGGTTCCCAATGAAAAACTTATTTTTCATGAATCCCCTGAAGTTCTCTCATTGGACATCGATAATACTCTAGACTGCATCGAAAAAAAATATAACGCGTAGAATTCATTAAAGTAAAAGAGACATCTGTAAGCGAATAAAAACAAGTGAATATTTAGATGTCTGAAATCGCTCTTAATTCAGATATTCAATGTCAGGTATTTAAACCTACATGGAAAAAATTGGTTGAATTAATTAGGATCCAGGATATATAAACTAATCTGTTTGATAAAGTATGAACAAATAATATTTTTGGTTAAGATAACTAAACTAAGATAACATAACTAAATTCGCTTACATGCATTTGGTTAAAGTAACCAAACATAAGTTTGGTTACTAAATTTATCAAATATATCATGTTCATCCACAACTTTGCTCTGCTCATAATAAGCAGATACTTGGATGTTATGACTGGATCAGCAGTAACCAAACTTTGACCGTTGTTAGATCTAAATGTTTTGGTTGACTACCAGAATATTTTAATCAAATCTTGTCTAACCGAACACATTAATCCAACCGTGGTTGTTTTTTCCCGTGTAAAGAATTCAAATAGTTTAGGTGGCGAGTAAGAAAAATTAACCGCTGCACGAGCGAGTCGGTGGTACTATAAATAATTCACAGCACTTCAGCAGAGATTAATCGCCAATTCGTTAAAAGTAGGAACTCTTATCAAAACCCTCTTCTCTGTGCGGTGGTGCGGTCGTCAAAAAGTTGTAGCAAATTTATAACTTCCTGAAACAGCGCGACTCTATCCTGGATGACTGTTAAAGTCAGTGAACACTCGCGCCGCAATGTTTCCTAACAAATGAGTATGTCGTAAAGGTATTTTCCTCCGTGCATCGAATTTTTCCCCGCGAACCCGGGTTCCTTTCTTTTTTCTTGTTAACGTGTCGTACAGCGAAACTTCTTCTCGAAACAAATAACGTAGTGTATGGAGAGAAAGAGAAAAAGAGAGAGAGAGAGAAAAAGAGGAAGAAAGAGAGGGAGAGAGTCACCTACATCCCCTTAAGTACTCCCCGCTTCATCGTTAATCCATTTAGCTCTATCTCGTTCCATATGTGTTTTAGTTCCTTGCACAAGGTACGCATACACGCACGATTACGTCGACCAAGCCGACGCCAATGTTCCACACAGAGAGTTCATCGTGAAATCCATAACGGTCCCTCTCGATCCTTATCCCGTCCTGACTAGAAATTTATCCCATACTTTTTTTATTTAGTTCTACTCAGATGGATTTCAATCAGTTATTGTATAAGTCCTTGTCCACAACCTCGCTTTAAGACGTAAGCCGTAAGAAATTGACCAACTACAATCGATTATTTTTCTAAAAATCGACCATGGTTGGTCAATTTCTTACGGCTTACGTCTTAAAGCAAGATTATGGATAAGGGCTAACGTAATATCATCGGATCCTAATGATTAACCCTCTGAGTAGCAATCAGGGCTATGTATGTTCGCGTCATTCTAAGAAGTGTTTCTTTTTCGCAGCGTTTTTGTTTTAAAATTATTAAAAATAAGATGCTTATAGTAATTTATTTTTCGCTATAAAAAGTTATAGTAAGCTTATAGTAATTTATTTTTCTCTATACAAATCTATATAGTTTTCAACTGAGAAGAAATTTTCTGTAATTTTTGAGAATTTTTTCGAATATCCCAGGAGAGAAAAATCAAGAAAAATACTAATGACTTTGGTTGCTTCAAAGCTAATAAAAAATTAATGACTTCAAAGCTAATAAAAATATGTTGTCACTCGAAGGGTTAACAATAATAAGATTCTAATTATTAATAATCATTATTCACCTCATTATTCATTACTCGTTATTGCCTTGAGACAACGACAGTTCAATTCGATGCAAACGTCAAACTAATCCATTTTTTTTACACGGAATTTCTATATTATCACTAGTTATACTGATAAAAACCAGTAAATTCTCAGCACCTTTCATCTCTTCTACGAGGACAGCAGCTCCACAAGTTTATTAATATTACAATTTATTAATATTATACTTATCACAAAAATAGATTATACAAAATATTCTTGTGCATTATTACGACATGTGAAAGATAGAAAATTATGCAGAATATAATTTGCACTGAAAGTGACGCAGTATATCAAAAAATTGTTTCTCTCAGGCAATACTTTGATGTCTCCAAAAAATGATTGATTGGAAAATTATTAAAAAATCACATCTCTACACTGCTAGGAACGATAATAAATAAATAAAGAATTTTTCACAACTAGAATTAATGCGAGATTCAAAGGGTTAATAAGATTTTGATTGTCACGCTATATTGCGTGACTTATTAGGATTCGATAACATCACTCTGTACAAACTAGGTAACCGATTGGGGTCAACCTGATCAGGATTATGGGATAAATTTCTAGTTGAAGTCTCACCCTTCCTGGCACGGTCTCCTTCTTGTTTCTCCCTCCCGCCTCGCTTCCCCTCGTCTATTTCTCGCGCGCGTTCTCTCTCACAAACACACATTATCAATTAGTTAGTCACTCTCGTCGTTTTATGAACCTAGAAGTCAAAGCCCAAGACTACCAATTCCTCGATTAATTCCATTTAGTGTTGCGGCGAATCCGGATGCGTGATCACGCACCCGGACGACGGACTTACGCGCCGTACGTTTTACCGCGAAGATGTCCCTTGCATTCTTTATATTCCTGAGATTACATCAATCCCCCGTGTTCGTCGCAGCGGAAACGCCGCGACGACTGCGGCCTGGTTTAGGCCGCAGTCGACGATAATCAAACGAACGCTTCGGCCAGTCCCGCGAGCTTCGCGTTTCGCACATAGTCGTCCCCTAATGGACGGACGAAGATCACGTCTCGGATACAAAGGGACTAACTACGAACCGTTGCCGATACCAGGGCGCTTGTGTTCGCAGAGTTCGTGTGCTACGGGACGTAAATCACACGCGTCGAGAGCCTCGGCCAAGAAACTCCACCAAATGAACGCACACACTTCTAACTAGCACTGTTCGTTCGCTTCTTCGTCCGTACATTCGTCCGTACATTCGTCCGTGGCCACTGTACGCGTACACACTGTACAACTCCGTGACGGAGAATAGAAATTATTATGTTTCACTTTCTTCGATCGACGCTGAGCACGCACCGGCCTCACCCCCGGCTAAGAAGATCACTCAGACTTGCGGAATCGCAAATCTAAACACACCATCTGTCTTAGTCAATAGTTCGGGATGAGTTTCTCGCGAGGGGAAACGGCATCGGGACACGGGGAAGGGGATTCTTGAACACGAATGCCGAGTGTTAAGGGGATGCCATGTTTGAGAACTTTACCAAGGAAATACTGGCTTCTTTTTGCAAAGTTTACGTCGTGTTGTAGTTGCACAGAATTACAAGTACTTGCGCGCAATCAAGGTACGTGCCAAAATGAATTCGAGAATCATTGAATATGTGACGAAAACGAACACATCTATTGGACAGATGCGTCCCGAAATTCACACAAAATATAATGATAAAAAAATTATAACGATGAAAACTTCTAAAATTGACACTTCGAGCTGTCAGTTAACGTAACAAATGCTGACATTAAAGTTTCACAGCTTGTATGCTCGGCTGCAAAACGGTTTGCATACATTTTTCCCAATGTAGCGCTCCAGGTTGTCACAATTGAGAGGCACTGCTGATGCGTTTGCATGGCAGTTGATTTTGACAAGAGACGGAGTGACAGTACACAGATGTAAGTAATAACCCTTTATTATATTCTTATCTATTGGATAAGAACATAATAAGGATATTGGATGTACAAATTAATTCGTGGCTTCCTGAATTCCCCTTTATACAAGCGATTAGAAATCGTTTGTTGAGTGACACTAAGTTGTTCGGCTCCTGTTGTGCTCGACAGGGACTCTCTTGCAACAGTTGATTCAATTCCTCATCTTCAATTTTTTTCTACAGTTTCAGGATATTCTTGGTCGGAAAAAAGATCGAAACTTTTAATACCATGTACTGTGAACCACAGCACTTTCCTCCAAAGCAGAGCAAATTATTTCCTTAGCCTCAAGAACATTTTTTTCAGTTGAAATGGAAAATGAATACAGTGTCTGATATGCTGTTTATCGAATCGTGTTCAGTACTGCTTCGTGAAATTATGTTGTCAGCAGCGTTCAATTATAAATGCTTTTTCATTTTAAGAGTTGGCATTCCGAAATTCTAATGCGACGGGTAAAAGATTTGAATTTAAAATAAAATTACAGTTGGTTAAATATGAATGCGACGAATTAACTTGTACATCTAATACTTACGTTTTTCTTGAATCTCCCGTTGCAGTTGTGAAGTCCGAATATATTGTCACTGCTTATATATTGTCACTTCATTTTCTACTATGACCTTAATATGCAAACGTGTCAGTAAAATGTCTCAATTGTGACTTGAAACGCTACAATTTAATTTTGAGAAATGTACAAACTAAGCATACATATCGAACATGTGTGTGTCCCGTTTAGGAAAATTTCAAAGAATATTGCTGTATTTTTACAACTAGACTTAGAAGTTTAAAAATATACGAAAAGTTTGCAGAAAAATTTTTATGCAGGGTTAAGGTGTTTATCTTAACGGTATCCATTATTTTTTTACTTGTTACAACGATCCTGTCTGATCATTGTAACTGATAAAACATAGTAGAAACCATTACAATATATGCATAGGTTTTTAAATATATAATCACATAAAACAAAGCAGCATATATTTATATAGGATCTATATATACGATCGTGACAATAGAAATATTGCCTACTATATCTTGTGTGAGTTTTGCAACGTACTGGTCCTGTCCGATGAGAGAATTCTGTTATTTAAAAACAAATTCTTTCATTGGACAAAACATTCTGAAACTCATGCAAAATACAGCGGCAATTTTTTTGCTTATGATCATACCAAAAATATGAAAAGAAAATGATCGCGAATATGTAATCCATTTTGGCGTTACCTTAACGCACGGCTGTGCACATTTATGTTGCACGACAATGTGATGACCACACGAATAAACGAAAGAAAGCAAGAAAGAAGAAAAAGGAAGAGAAAAGAAAATTGATTTCAATTTATATATTCTCAAACGTAATGGGGGAACGATAATCTCGTCCGAGTAACGAAATCCACTTACGACGAGCACCGAGCATGCCTCTCGCGCTTCGAGTGTCCCCGATAACAACCGTAGTTCAAAGGGAAAGTCCCTCACTGTACTTAATCTCGATCGACACCGGCTCCTCTCGTGTCGTCTCGTGGACGTTCCCGGTGCGAACCGCTCTCTTCCGACATCAAAGATCCCGGTGAAAGAGAGAGACCGGGATCGTCCCCGTCTATCACACGGAGATCTCTTGAATCTGCACGCGCTTCTTCGCGCTGCCGGGTGTCCCGGGCTGCCGCAGAATCCCGGGACACGACAGACCGACGTTCGGTGCCGGGGCCTTGGGCGGTGGCGGTGGTTCCGGCACATCCTCGTTCTCGTCCTCGCTGTCGTGCAGGCCGCTCATACCTTCGTTCACCTCGTCCATCCTGGCAATAGTGGCGTCCACGCAGGGCGATGGGGTGCGAGTTCTCTGGATGCACGGGCTCTTGCTGTAGGACGGCGGCTCCAGAATCCGCTTGCCGCCACCGGGCGGCGGTGAACACTGGAACTCCTGCAGCTGCATCTCCAGCTCTTGGACGAGCTTCGCTTTGTGGGGTGGCAAGATCGACGGCGAGTCGATCAGATTCATGGAAGACAATCGCTGCTTCCCGATGGCGGCGTCCATGCCGGAGCAGCCGGCCTCCAGCAATTCTTCTTTCTTCTTGTTGCCAAAAGAGGTGGCCATACCGCCACCGCCAGACGCGTTTCGATCGCGCTGGTGATAGATTCCCGCAAAGATCAGAATGTTGAGCAGCAGCAGGAACACTCCGACCGCGATGGTGACCGTGAGGGCCGTGGTGTAACTCTGATAGTGGCTGGACGCGAGCTTACGCAGTATGTTGTTAGGACCCGGGCCCAGATTGGAGTGTTGCAGCGTTTGCGAGGTGGTGGGTGTGATCGTGGTGGCGACGGTCGCGTTCGGAGTGCACTCCGTAGTAGACAACACATTTAGTATCGAGGAGGGTTCCGTGGGGGACGGTAGGGGTAGTGGGGGTGCCGGTAAGGGTACGGCTGTGCTTTGAGGACGCACCGGGCCCTCGTAGAGACTCGGGCTGTCCGCGAGATGATGGTGACGCATGTTGATCTCGTAGCCCGGTCGGTGCAGCTGCGGCAGCAGGTTCAGCCAGAGGGACATTTTGTGGCCCCTGTAGTGCGAATGCATCTCCGGGTTGTGACCGGCTTCCAGGTACAACTGGTTTATGGAGTCGTACGAGTCCCAGAACGGCGGACTCGTCATTAGGCCGCCCTCCAATCCCGAAGACAAGGGACTCGCGCCGTTTGGATCCCTAAAACAACGAGCGAACCGCGACCCTATGACAAGTGGACAGACATCGGCCGCGGGGCTCATTTCATGCTCTTTCTTTCTTTCTTTCTCTTGCGCGGCCTTATGTTGCTGACACGTTGCCCCACCTCGTAACTTGGTGACGAGAAAGCTACATGATACTACCTTGCCGCATTTTATTCGGTACACACAGTGCTACTTAAAGCATAAAACAATAGTTTTCTGGCCTACAATCGACCATTACACAAAAACGATACAGTGAACATTGTTCTTTCTTTTGTACCGCGCTCCTTGATATGTAATATTTATAACGGTAAGTTGTATTTGAATGGTATCACCTATACAGCGTGTTCTACTTTAAAAATAATTAAAAGTCTCGTGAGATTTTTCTTAATCCATGAAAGACAAAAATGACGGCAACAAGAAGATCTTAAAGAAATCAACTCCATCGGGCATTTTAGTGTTAATTTATTATCTTTAAAGATGATATAATCAATTACTAATTGTATATGCTGTATTAAGGAGATAAAATTTCTCGTAAATAAATAAATTTAATAATATCAAGGGATATTTAGAGAAAATATATATTTTGTTAGCAATTAAGCAGGTTTTGAAGTTAAGAATTGAATTGGGGGCTAATAAAAGCCGTACGAACGCGTTGCACGGTTCTGTGGGATAACTTGCCGCAAACCAAAATTTCATTTCCGGGGTAAAATTCTCCGTGTCAATGACAGAGCAATCATCCAGATAGTCAGCGATCCGCAATTAGGGAAACCAAAATCACTTCGCGTCTCTTCTCCGTGAACTCCACCTCTACTTCGAGATTGCGAGCTTCCGCTGAGCGCGCTAACGGCCTTTGCGGGAGTTTGGCTCCAAAATCCTCTCCCAGCTGTAACTTTACCCTACAACTACCACCTTTCAGACCCTCTTCACGGAGGGTAATCGAAGTGCATGTGATACTTAAGTTCAGACGAACTTCGAGCCGGGTGAATTAACGAGAGGCGCGCCACGCGCGCGTTCACTTATCCGATTAACCCTTTCACACTCATGCGCACGTTATCTTGAGTTATCGACTGATGACTATTGTATATTTCATTCAAAGGAGACAATGGCACGTCAAAATGCCTCGTTTTCGTTAGCTGTAATGAAGACACGAAAGCCGGGAAATAGAAGCTCGCTGCTTCTCCACGTTTGACGTACTAACGACACAAAATCCTTATTCTCATGCTCGCGAGATAAAGTATATCTTGCTTACGACATACGTAATTAGGTATTAATTTAAAAAGTCAAAAAATGAAAGGGATCGGACTCACCCGCGCCTCACGAAGTTAGCTAGGTAATGGACGAGAAGCTTCGACAGGTTCTCATCGACGGTCGTATAGTTGCCAAAGGCGGACATCGCGGACGTGACTTCGCCGCGAAGAAGAGGTATACCCAAGAGATACGGCACTTCCTCGCCCTTCTGGCTCGGTCGATCGTCGGGCTGGAAGTGCAGGAAATAGCCACGTCCCGTGGAGGCGGAATGCAGTAGGGCCAGTCTGAGGAGCGGCGCGGCGACTTGGCCGTCTCCAAGGAGAGATAAGAGACCCTCGCAGATCGCCACGGGACTCTGCTCGCCCCGTTCCCAGTCGGTGTACTCGTTCCGAAGAGTCGAATAGATTTCATGCAGATGGTATCGGTAGGTGTTCCGGACGTAAGTGCGCAATATACGATCTCTCCTCGTCTCGTTCAAGCCGTTCTGCGGAACCGTAAGAGTTGTCTGTTTCATAACGCGGATGTGTAGTGCATTGCTCGGACGTTCCCCTGTCACCGCAGAAAACGTGCCTCTCCGTGTACATGTGTGCGTATGAGAGCGGACATGCATTGTCCCGGCAAAAAATGAATCGCAATATTAAAAGTGGAGCAATTCCCTGTACTGAAGTACCGAGACAATCTCCCGAAATATTATTTGAGCAAAATATTGGCATTGTCTTACACAGAGGAAATATTGTAATAACAAACTTTTTTACAATTTTTAATTATACAGAAGTTTTATGACCATATATGATGACTATACATTTGTTTGAAAACGTTATGACTTTTTACTACAATATTATTGCAATTACTTGAATGCTTTTTTATATCGTGTATTCGGTGAATCGTCAAATTTATTATTTAGTAACTTTGACTAAGCCACACAATTGTTGGCATTTCTCTTGGTCATTAGTATTCTACACTGAGAGAAAAGACTGGTAACTATAATAAACTGCATTTAGTTACAGAAATTCATTGAATCCTTAGTAACTAATACTAAATATGATAATAATTACCAAATATTTAATAGATCGGGAATATGACGTAATTGCATTCGCAGTAACATCAATTAAATAATTTAGTAATAGTTACTTAATGTTAAATATTTAATATGAAATATATTACAGTTATGAACAGATATTTGATAATTGTTATGAAATCGTTATATCCCATATAATAAAAAATTCAGTAGGTACGAGTTCTATTTTGTTACCAGTATAAGTATGTTTTGTTGCAACACAACGAAAAATTCATTCATTTGCAGTTATCACATCGTTTCAATATCTATCATTACAGATAGTTGGTTGAACCTATCAAAAATTTTGTAACTATTACAAAATCGCTTATTTTGCTCAACTATTCAATAAGTTTTATTTACCAAATATATTCTAGAAGCAAATAAATTTTACTTCTGTCAAATAAATAATTTATTTTACAGAACTAAATTAATTAATAAGTTATTATTGCCATAGCTTTGGCCCGCTATATTTGACTCTGACTCATCTTTTTTTGATAAAAATTTTTTATGAATAGTCTTCGTCCAATAAGAGTGTATTCAAGTGGGTAGATATTAATATACTTGTGTGTAATGTTTTTTTGGTAATAGTTTCGAGGAGGAACAATTGCATACTTCGGAAAAATTACTTCGGAATATCGTCTCGATATTCGAATATCGATATTGATTTTTCTACGTTTTTCCAATTTCCAAATATCGGGTTTTTCTATTTTTCGAGATAATACGTATCTATCTATATATATATATATATATATATATATATATATATATATACATACATATATATATATATATACATACATATATATATGTGTGTGTGTGTTTGTGTGTGTGGGGTTAAAAACGTTTTGTTACGAGATGTGCGCGATGAGTAGAGCAGGATGATACGTGTAACTCAATACTGTGATAAGGGTTGTTTATTGTTAATTGCCAGAGAGGTGCAATTCAGCATTGAGGCGGATTCGAAAAATTTTAACCTCGCTATTGGCGGATTAGAAGTCTTTTTTCAACGTTCCGCGAGCTTATCGACAGTGACGCGTGAGAGTATTTATTACAGGCATACGGTGTTTAAATTGTACAAATGTGTTTCTTTCAGTAATTCTCTTTTCTGTGCGAGTGTGCGCTAAATTCGAGAACACGAGAGCTATTCAAATCGCAGATAACAGCCGGTAATCGGGCGATTTTATTTGCATAAATAATGACGACACGTTCGCGCCGATAAGCATATCTGCATACGGATTGTCGTTTCATACATACGATCGTAAAGTAGGAAGACGCGCGCCCGTTTCACAGGGCGACTCAGCGGCCGTGACCATCAGAGAGTCAATAATATCCGGAACGTGTGTTCTCGCACAGGTTCATGATGCTTTCATGTAAAGCTCATCAATTTGTCGAACTATATCCAATCAACGTCAATTACATATTTAGCACGAGATGTCGGCTCGTTAATCAGGATATTACATCCGCCCGAACACAAATTTCTTGGTCAAATCGATACGCGGAGCGTGAGAGCATGAAAGAAGCAATCCATTTTTGCAAATGTATATTTTTGCATCTTCAAATAGATATTATGAGGTACACGAGTGATACATGTGTGCGATTTTGTATGGTGAAAATGATGACAAAAGATATATAATTAAATTCTTTTAAAGTGAATCGGTATAAATATTAGATGTACAAGTAAATTCGTGGCCCTCACAATTAATCAACTGTAACTTTATAAATTCATATCATTTACCCGCCGCATTGGAGTTTCGGAATATCAATCCTTAGGATGAAAAACACCATATAATTGGACGCTGCTGATGACATCATCTCACAAAGCAGTATTGAGCACGATGTCGTTCGATAAGCAGCATATCAGACATTACGTTCTTTTTGCATTTCAACTGAAAAAATGCTCTTAAGGCTAAGGAAATGATTTGCTCTGTTTTAAAGGGAAGTGCTGCAACTTACAGTAAAAACTGGTATCAAAGGTTTCGGGATGGTAATTCCGATCTTTCCGATCAAGAACATCCTAGAGAGTCAGAAAAAATTAGGCCACGAATTAATTTATACAACTAATACTTCACCGATAACATTGGTCCACAAAATAAAAACTTTTTGTATCATACAAAACATTGAGTGATCTATATAATATTTTTAATTAATTGAAAAACAAAATTAACTAAAAAATACGAAACAATTGTTTTTCTATCACCTAAAGTTTTCTAGTGATGTGATTTTTAAATTTTACAAATATTTATAAAATATTTTTATTAAGATTTATGAGTATAAGAAGATTTGTAAAAGAGATTTTCAATGGTAACACTCTGATTTTATTATTTCGCCTTATATCTCACTGAAAATAAGAATTCATTGCAATTCGTCTGCATTTGCAAACTGCACCGACAATGGGAGCAGTCGCTATTATCAACCAAGATTGGGAAAAAATGCGTTATTTGTAACGTCGTTAAGAGTTTTTCAATAAAACACTTGATAACAACGTTATTTTTTCATTACTAACAACAATGTAACACAATTAGTAACGGTAACGAATATAATTGTTACTTTTATTGTTACTCTGCATATATAAAATAGAATGAGCAGAAACAAGTCTGAAAAGAAAGTCTTCAAAACTTGGTGACAAAAGTAATGGAAATCATAACACGATAATAGTAAGAAATTAGATTTTTTAATGGGTAACAAATAACGTTATTTTTTTTGTTACATTAGAGTCTCTAAGTAATTTCATTATTGAAGTGTAACTGGAAATTTTTAGGTCTACTGAATATAATATCCGCTGTTATCCGTCGAGTTTCCGGGTAGCTGGATAATCTAACTCGATTACGAGAAATTATAAGGTTTGAGAAATTATAAAAAAAAGAAAGAACCCATTAAATTTCACTGTACTAGTTATAGGTTAATGTGAACCGCACGCGAACAGTACATATAATTTTAGTTGTATCTCGAAAACGAAAAATTACATAAAAATGAAACGAAATGCATTTTAAATTTAAAAGTTGATACTTTTGCGTAGCACTCACAAAATTTAAATAAAAAATTTGCTGCCGATGTTACAAGACTATGAAAAAACTCTCAAAATTCACATTTTTAGCTTCTTTGACACCATTTTTCTCAAAGTTGTTACTTAATAGGCAAATTTGGATAACGGATTCATGTTCAGGCAAAAATACATTGGAAATGACTGTTCACATTTTGGCAACAAAATCTTTGCAAACCAGTTTTATTTGTCGTTACTTCGAATGTATAACAAATATTTTTTTTTTATAATTTTACTTAAAACTCGTCATTAATACTATTAAAACGGCCCTTACATCAAGTTTCACTCATTTTCGAGAAAATTTTATCTTTTTATAGTCTTTTGAGTCTCGATTCGAAAAAAATGGTGTCGATGTTAAGGGGTTAATCGGTCTTTTTAGTGAGACTTTATTGATTGCAGTGTTATATTTATAAATGAGCTACCAGTTATAAGTATAGCATTTTAGTGAAGAAAACATTGATTTTCGAGAAAAATTGGGAATTCGAGAAAAAAAAGTTCGAGAAAAATTGAATTCGATATTAGAGATTTTCACCAACAGATTCGACGAAATTAAAAGTCACTGCGAATCCCGTCAAGCTAAAATATAATACTTCAGTGAAAAATAGTGATTGTACCTTCGAGAGTATGGTCTTTATTCCGAATTCTCTTTTATTGATAAAAAGTGCCTTTAATTGTGTCTTATAAATCTTCTGGTTAGCTTGTAAGCACATTCAGAGGCACCTTCATCGATGAGAGGGAGTTCAGTGTGAGGGACTAAATCTCACCCTAGTAGAGATGTGTGCAGTTTGCGTAGATATCCTCCTAATTATTGTCTAGCATTAATGCTTTCTTATTAGTTGTAGAAATACTTCATCGAAATTAGACAAGAATTTGATAGAGATTTATTCAGTGGTTGAAGTAATTTGCTGTACAACATGTGGACAAATTCTTTTAAACAGTTTTCTATGTGTATCAGGACAAATCTGCCCATTACAGTTTCGATTCTCTGCGTCTATTGCGTAGTAACTATAAGAAAAGCATTACATCTCAATTAAAATCCCAAGTAGTTTTACTCTGCAATTGTTAGACAACAGTTAATACAATTGTCCGGTATAACTACTCGAAAACTGCATTAAATTTCTACCGGCGGGTGTCAGTTCTCTTCTGAAACATATATGTTCTTCAGATTTTTTGGTGATTAAGGTGATCTCACCTGTAGATCGTCCTCAGAGAGGTTCATCCAAGCTTCCTCGGACGTCAAGCCGAAGAGCAGGTCTCGATCACCAAAGTCCGCGAATTCGGCGCCAGGTCCGGGCACGATCGGCATTAGTCCCGAAGAAGAGGCAGTGGGCTGGAAATTCTGATCGAAGTGTTTTTCTTTTTTTGGGTCTTCTTTCGCTTCGTTTTTTTTTTTTGTTTTGTTTTTTCGGCTTTCGAGTTATCGGATCCGCGAGGAACACGCTGTTATCGATCGGACTCGCGGCGCGGTGCAGCGCCTGCTCGTTTCTCTCCGTTCGCCCGGCACTTCCGCTTACGCGTTCACGATATCGCGATATCGCGACGAGTGCCAGCGACGACACATACACTACACTATCGACGGATAGGTTAATGGAGCATGCACGAAGTAGCTATTACAGTTCTCGGATCCGTCATCTGTCAGCCGGTTGTCCGTTCAATTAGCAGATTCATCGTTTACCTGTCGTCTCATTCGCTCTCGCGCAAAATCAATACGGTGGCTGGCCGGCGCAGTTGGGCCCGACGTCTGGCGAGCTAATATCCGTATGCAATTACAATGAAATTCGCGAATTTCGTAATAGTCTGAATGGCACGCGCGCCGAGACCGATGTTTACTTAACACTCATCGTTATATTTGTTTACGTTGCCTATGAAGTGGTAGGATATTCTAGCGCGTAATGCGCGTTTGAACGATAACGCGCTCTTTCTCTTGCCTGACGCGACCACACCGGCGGCGTGTACGTTCCGTTAAGCGTGGAGAATGTAAATGCAAATTCCATGAAAAACGGCGCGATGTCAAAAGCGGCGGAACCGACACGCCGCGCCGAAACTCACGCAGATAACGCCTGCCAGCCGCGCCGGTTGCGAAAACTTATGAAAAACGCGGGGTTAAAGCACCGATGTAACATTGATGCAGTCAATAATTGTTAGAGGCTTTCTCGTGCTTATTTCTATCAAAAAATAAATAATAGGTCGCGACGCTGGTCGAACTTCAATTTCTTTTAATTATTGTTCTCTAAGTTTAAATTTAATTCAAGGGAATGTCATAAAATTCATTTGAATATTTTACCGACGGAATACTAACTTTTTTCTACAATGTTCACCTCGAATTGGTTGCACAGACTTATAATGGAAGCATAATGCGACCCGTAAAATTTAAATAAGTTTTAATAAAAATAAATTAATAAACTTCACGTTGCATCAAAACACTCTTTGAAAAACGTCCACCATGAAGAAAACATAAGTTTTACTGTGAAAGAACTGTTGAAAAGAACGGAATTATTATATTTTTCTGAAAACATCACTTAGCTTCTATACGCTTTCTATGCGGGACAAAATGAAGTTAATATCTAAAAGTTCTTGAATGTGACTTATTAAAACATATAATATATAAAAATGTATTATTGCACATTTCATTAAATATAATTACTTTTTGACAATACTTATAAAATGATAAAACTATATCCTTTTTTCATCAATATATTAATGATGTTCAGTATTTGATATGATTAATAATCTTTGGTATCGCGATTTTATGAAATGTAGCATATAAAAAGAAATGCCAATTAACATATTTTAAGAATATAATGGCATAATTCCGTTATATGGCGAAATATACAAGTTTGGATTAGACGTAATATAAAATGTCACAGATATTTGCGCAGACACTTGACTAAAATGACAAGAAAAGATTATTTAATAACGTTAGCGTACACATACAGTAGTGAAAAGCAGAATTTTATCCTTTTTAACTTTAGCATCAATTAATTCTTCATCTCTTTCTGATTCCGTATTCGAAAACTCACGCAGATAACTATCAGCAGCAGCGGTTACGAAAACTTATGAGAAACGCGGGGTAAAAGTGCCGATGTAACATTAATACAGTCAATAATTATTAAAGTGCCGCGAGCTTTTTCTATCAAAGGAAAAATAATAGGTCACTGAGGTCGACACTGGTTGAACATTGCCTGCCGACTTCAATTACTTTTAATTATTGCCTTTTAATTACGATCATAATATCAATGATCGATATCGATATAGGTTAACTTTAGCGTTGATGTAACTCTTCGTCTCTTTCTGATACTCTACGTTCGCAGAGAGAGAAAGAAAGAGAAAGGGAGAGAGAGTCAAACACGATCGATCAAATGAATGTTAAAACTATAACCAATCTCGATAAAGGCGAGGCAAATCGTGAAAATGAAAACAGCACATTATAAGATAATTATTACAATTTTGTGGGTTCTAATTTCGGGTCACGTATTACAAAAGTGTATACTGTAATAGAAACACGCAAATAAAATTTCAATTCTTTAGTTTCTTTACAATGATATTTTCAGGTAACACATTCACTGTAATAATTGTAATAATTGTCAAAATTGTAATAATTACCTTATAATGTGCTGTTTTCATTTTCACGATTTGCCTTGCCTTTATCGAGATTGGTTATAGTTTTAACATTCATTTGATCGATCGTGTTTGACTCTCTCTCCCTTTCTCTCTCTTTCTCTCTCTGCGAACGTAGAGTATCAGAAAGAGACGAAGAGTTACATCAACGCTAAAGTTAATCTATGTCGATATCGATCATTGATATTATGATCGTAATTAAAAGGCAATAATTAAAAGGAATTGAAGTCGACTGGTAATGTTCAACCAGTGTTAATATTTAACTTTTGTTAATATTTAACTAAAAATCTAGAATATTTTCTTTACCGATTCTTTGAACATATGAAATTGTTAGTACGTTGTGCTACGTATGCGATCATTCTATAAGATAAAACAATATGAATATGATGTTATTAATGTAAGATCGGGTATATATATCTCGTATAATCCGTTATATGGACGTAAAATAATTCGTTGACCCATAATTGAAAATTGCTTATAAACTTTTCTAATTATTTCTTCTTTTAATTTCAAATATAAATTAATAAACTTTGGTAATTTTTCTTTAAAAACATTATATCTATTTGTGATATTGGTATCAATAATTAATAGCTCGATGAACAAATTTATATAAAATGATCCATAATATAAATCCCATTCCATAATATAAAATCCCATTCCATTTATATAAAATGATCCATTGGTCAACACAAAAATCATATCAATAATCTAAACCGTCCAATTGATTTCGTGGTACTGATCTCAAATATAACAATTAAAATCAAAGCTTAAGCTATTAATTATTAATACCAATAAGCTTTAATTTTCACAGTAGTAAAGAACAATGAAAAGGGCATTTTTTCCAAAATCATCTCTTCATAAATTATTTTTCTACTTCAGTTAGCACGGTAAAATTTGAGATATGGACTTTCTACACGCAAAAAAAATTTAATTAGTGCAATCAAATAAAAACCAACTGAAAATTAGGTGATCAGAAACAATATCTCCGTTATAAAAACTAATATTTCTGTTGTCGCAACCGAAAACATTCGTCTGAACATTCAACGATATTAGAACTCGGTTGAGTTAACTGAGAACAATTGACTATACAGAAGTCTCATAAAAGAATTTTTTGTTCCTACAGCCGAGTTTTCGTCCTGAGCAACCGAAAATTCGGTTGCACACGGAAAAAAACATTTGGTTCAATCAACCAAATATCTGGTCGATTATAAACGATCCAGAAATTCCGATTAAAGTAACCCGAATTCTGTTTAAGTTAACAAGATGTTTGGTTGACTTAAACAGAATTCGGGTTACTTTAATCGGAATTTCTAGATCGTTCATATTCGACCAGATATTTGGTTAATTCAACCAAACCTTTTTTTCCGTGCACCAACAGAATTGTTTTTCCGTGTAGGACATGTGAAATATGTTAAATTTAACTTTTTTATTGTGTCATTTCTTGGCCAGTGTGATTAGAACCATCACCTTACTTATTCTATTTGAGGAGGAAGGAGAAGGACGAAAGGAACAAATCGTCGTCTTACCTGATTGGCCGTCGGTGGCAAGACGGCCCCGTCGATGAAGGGCGCGAATCCGGAAGTGAATCTCGGCGGATCGAGCTTCACCGCTAACAGTTCCTCCAGGCTCCTCAAACGAAGGCACGGTGCAATATCGTCGGCCTCGACGTCGCTCGGACAGCCAGTCTGATCGGCGACCCGGCGCTTCACCGTCAACGGGTCTCGCTGGACCGCCCATGGCGAAAGGGCCGAACCTCCGAGCAGGATCACTCTCCCGATCAGCTCTATAATTCACGGGCGCAAATTTCGCGCTAATTGCGACCGATAAGCTGCAAGATAAGACGCAAAGGGAGCACGCTCGGGTGAATCCCTACTTGCCGCGGCGATAATACCGCCTCTTTATTATTTCGAAATCCGATAATCCGCGAACGGCACATCAGTCTTTTGTTAGTCCGCGAAGCTTGTTACTTCGTTTCTTCCCGCGCCGCCCTCTTTCTGCCTGCAGAAGCTTAGATACGGTTTTATGCGTTAACCAATTAATTGTAATTAGCGCGCCCCTTTGGGAAGATCGTGGTCGGTCAAATGTTAAATGCGATTAAATCGATTCTCTTTCTTGGCGAACTAAACTATCGGTTGCAGGAGGACCGCTTCGCGATACTTTATAATCCGGACGAGGAGAAGAATATCGCCAACCCTGCATCAGCGAACTATCGGGCGGAGTTTACAAGCGGCTTCAAATATGAATAAATTTATGGTGTGTACGCGGAGAGCTGTTACATCGAATGATATACTGCGCTGGCAATAAAAATTAGCATATCAGTATCGCACAACTGCAACATATTCATGCTAAAGCTAGAATTTATACAGGTTGTTCCAGTATTGGAGGTAACGACTTAACTGGATAGTAAAACGTGCAAAAATAAACTCAAGTGTTGTAAAACGTCATTTTACATTTATATAATAAAAAGGCCTAAAAATTCGCCTCTGAGATATTCTATTAAAGGGGTTACTTAAGGGGTTACTTTTCATTGTGAAGATAATATTTTTTGTGTTAAGTTTGACCCTATGAATATATTAATTTTATATAAAATTTGTTTCGAAATATTCTTCATGTTAATTGCCTGTTATTAATTAATACAGTTTGAGTAGATTGTTTGGGACATGTGAAAGGTATTCGACAAAATTTTTTACAGTTTGTGTCCTCACATATTAATCTGGATTTTTTATTTATTTTTGCGAGAATTCGACTAACCTGTTAAATGTTTAATTACATTTCTGTCTGTGTGAAATATCCTGCATCTATCTTGCAGAAATTAATTGAAAATGTTGAACTATTTACCACGAATAGGCCTAATTAACATCGGCAGCAAATTTTTTATATAAATTTTGTGAATACTACGCAAAAGTATCAATTTTTAGATTTAAAATATATTGCGTTTCATTTTGATATAATTTTTCGTTTTCGAAATATAACTAAAATTGTAAACACCGATCGCGTGCGCTCGACATTAACCCGTAAATAGAGTTATGAAATCCAGTTACATAACTGATAACTGGAATTCTGATGGATTTTTTTTTCTTTTTTCTTTTTTGTTGCACTTTTATAATTTCTCAAACTTATAATCTCTCGTGATCAAACTGTATTACCTAACTACCCAGACATCCGACGAATACCTAAAATAGTGGGTATTATTATATTCAACAAACCTAAAGACTTTCAGTTACAGTGATAAAATCACTTAGAAACTCTAATATAACAAAATATTTTATGACAAAAATAGGCGAAAAATTCTCATTCTAACAGTCATATCTTTTTTCTGATGCAAAATTTCGCATATTGGATTGAAAAATCGTATTCAGCTGACCCAAAAACCCCTAGGTACACTTCGCCTCAATGATAAAATCATTTAGAGGCTTTAATATAACAAAATATCTCATGACGAAAATACGTGAAAAATTCTCATTTTTCTAATAGCCATATCTTTTTTCTGAGGCAAAATTTCGCGAATCGGATTGAAAAATTGTGTTCAGTTGACCCAAAAATCCCTAGATACAGTTCGCTTCAATGATAAAATCATTTAGGGGCTCTAATATAACAGAATATCTCATGACGAGAATACTGGAAAATCCGAAAAATTCTCATTTTTCTAACAGCCATATCCTTTTTCTGAGGCAAAATTTTGCCAGTCGGATTAAAAAATTGTGTTCAGCAGACCCAACAATTTTTATAGTTGCACTTTGCTTCAATGATAAAATCATTTAGGGGTTTGAATATAACAAAATGTTTCATGAGAAAATGCGTTTTTGTCTAAAGTCTAGTGACAAGAATTCTCGTCATCCGACGTTAAGAGGTTAATCTGTAGTTATGTATATATATATATATATATATATATATATATATATATATATATATATCCTGATCGGAACAGACCGCAACATAGTACTTTTCGGTTCACCAATACCGATAGATCCTTTAGCAAATCTCTCTCCGTGTACGTTCGATAGCTCGCTTGCGGCACCGTCGACTCCTTCATCTTCTTCGCGCGCGACATTTAGCTGGCGCATCGCGCCAGCCGCAAATCCGACCGACGACGCAACGGCGTCGGTCGCACTCGATATCCGCGTCCGATCGACCGCGTGCCAGAAAACGATTAAACACCTTACCTTTCGCCATAGGGGAGACGGCTAAAAAATTGGCAAGAGCCGCCCCGGTGCCGTGGCCCAGCAACACCAGTCGTCCAGGATCGCCGCCGAAGGCCCCGAGATTCTCGCGCAGCCAATGAAGTCCCGCCACCAAATCCATCAATCCGTAATTGCCCTGCGCGCTCCCTTTCGACCCGGTTTTCAGAAAGCCTGGTTTCAATGCACCCGAATTAGGTAGGCGACTCATTCACGCCCGGCTAAGTGGATCAGTGGCGCGTTCGCGAATTATACCGCCGCCTGCGGCGTATTTTCCAACGCCGGATCTTTCACACGAGAGCATCGCACGGAATACGGCGCGCGTACGTAATCGCGCACATTTCCATCATCTCTGTTTTTCACGTGAGCCGAGAACGAAAGCTGTTTCGTTTGAGAAATAAGAAAAAGGAAAAGAAAATGCCCGCGACTCAGGGCGTTTGCTTGGACAATTCTGCACGGCGCAATTGTCTTCTCATTTCGTGCAGTAGCCTCTTTCGCTTCTCACACTTGGTTCCTTTGACTGAGACCTTCTTACGCTAACGTAACCAAAGAGCTCATGTTATTGTGCTAATTGCGAGTTCAAAGCGGGCTTCTGTACAACTACCACTGGTATTTACTTTGAGAAAATCACATCAAGAGATAGACAGAGAGAGAGAGAGAGAGAGAGTGTGTGTGTGTGTGTGTGTGTGCATGTGTGAGAGGAAAGAGTGAGAAGAAGAAAAGAAAAAAGAAGATTCTATTTTAATTAATTGTCACCGAGTTAGGCAGTGTGCGAAAGCCAAGATATCTGTTCGCGTGTACAAATACAGTTATTGTAACAGCAAACGAGTGAGCTCGGAATCAGATAAATCGGATTAAAATTAAACATTTGCTCGACCGGCTCGATTTCACTCATTTCAATTTACCCCCGTGACCCTATCCTACCACGGCTATACTATTACTTTGATTCGCACTCCGCGAGACGAGTTTTTCATTTCAATTCGATTTGCCCTTCAAATCCCTTTCACACGTCGACGCCGCGCTTGATTATCGCCGAGATCCACCTTTACATTCGTATTTAACATCGACAATATATTCGCGTATCAATAATCTCCAATAATATTCGAGTATTTACTCTTATTAATCTTTATTTAAAAATATTGCGATTATAATTGTTCGCACAATTTAGATTGAACCTCCCCTCGGCAGGTATCCTTCGACAATTCTCCTGAACGATCGTTTCCTGATTTAAGGTGAAAATATCAATATGTGGACACGTATTTAATCCTGATATTTTTATTTTTTTGATTTTTACGAATATTTACACTTCTAACGTATACACAGACAAATATCATTTCACTGCTAACAAAAGCAATCACTCAGTTCACTTTCCTTCTTTTAGGTAATTTACCTTCAATAAAAAATATTGTTTTCATAACAGTCTTAAAATATATTCATCACAACTTTCAGAAAAGATTATCATACTATCTAATGTTTATAGTCGTTTAATAACGACTATAATATTTATTTAAAGACATTTATAATAAGTCATCAATACGTCATTTGACGTCATTATGTTTGCTATGGCTCACACTTCAAAGGGAAATAATTTTTGAACCATGCTTTGAATTAATATGAAATAGTTTGTGATTACGTTTAGATGCAATATAAATTAATCCGCAATTTTTCAGAATTTTTATATTATTTCTGAGTAATACGCTCCCTTAAAAACCAGAATAATAAGAATGTCTAAAGTTAGTGTTCAAGCACTGACACTTTTACGATATCGGTATCGGCGGCTTCATTTCGTTCGGTCGAGACGAACGAATTTCTCACATATGCGATAAATTTAGAAATACACTCGATGTTATTTAAAGTAACGGTCCAATCTCGGCGACTTTATTTGTACGACCGCGAGGCACGGAAATATTCAGCACGAAACGCCGCGAAAGTACGAATAATAAGTGGAATAACGAAAAAGAGGAAAAACATAAAACGGCTACCGAAGAAAATCGAGTCCGCCGGCCGCGCGATATTGGATAATACCGCAGGCATTGTTTCGGTTCAGCGATGAACAAAACGCATACGGAACTGTGGTGTGCCCGACAAAGAGGAGCGCAAAACAGAGCCAGCACGCTGAAAATACGGTATATCGATATCGCAAATTATATTCCGCTGGCTGGGCTTCTTTCATGAATGGGTGTACGAAGTTGTAAACACGCTCGCACATCCTTCGAGAAACAAGTCGTTTGTTTATCGTTATCCACGTCGCAATGCAACCCCTAAATAGAGCCCTGCAGAAATACTACGAAATAGATTAAAAAAAAGAAGATAGACATGAACTATTGCGCTTAACAGCGGTAAAATGCAGCGAAAAAATCGAGAGACTCGCAAAATGGAAATATAACAAGTTTTCAAAGTAGATTAACGCGAAATTACAGCTTCGCTTCGTTCACCATCCAAAAAGAGCGAAAGAGACAGAAGAGACAGAGAGAGAGAGAGAGAGAGAGAGAGAGAGAGACGCGTGCGATATTCCGATACAAATTTTACGAATGAACTAAAAAAAGCAGGGTTTTACCGATAATAACCGGAGATTCGCGAACGAGACGAGACGAGACTCGAATGTCAATTACTGTTCGCGCGGCGCTCCAGTTGAAATGATGTGCACGACATTTAGCAGATTCTCGAAAGCCGGCCATGCGATAAACGAGCGCGAAAGTCTACTCGCGTGAAAAACGCTACCTTACTTATATCCCCTTCTTCGTCCTCATTAAACTCCCTTTGTTTCTTTCCCCTTTTGTACCCGTTTTTAATTTTGACACGCACACACGTCCGTCTCTTTCTCTCTTTCACTTTCCCTCCTGCTCCCTCTCTCTCCTTCTCTTTCTCTCTCTCTCTCTCTCTCTCTTCCTCTCTCTGTCTCGTGAGAAGACGCATCTCTCGCAAATAACCGGACTCCCCAGTTCTCCGATATCCACGTTCGGGGTGACGTCGCGTTTTTAAAGTTCCGGCTATCGCGTCGGTAACAACCCTCCGAGAGAGAATTCTCGTATACAACTGCGCGGAAAGTAATCTGGTAAGATCCCGGGTGAACTTCCCCCTGGCTGCCACGAATAATGAGATCATTCTTTCAGTCTGTCGAAAGAACAAAAGGGTCGGTCGCGCTGTATAATAAACAAAGCTGAGTAAACTCGGCGCGCTTTATAATCCGGAAACTTTCTATCAGCTGTTTGCTCGCGCACGAAGTAGCAATGCGAATGTCTTGATTGTCGTGCGCTATTCGTCATTGTTGCAGTCGGGACAATAATTTCTTAGCGCAATGTGCGCGAGCGCGAGCGTTTACCATGAAGAGATCGGAGATTGAGCGTCAAAGTGTGACGATTCTCGATAGATAAAAACTTTTGTTCCTCGAATAATGATTGTGATCGGAAGTTTAATTTCTTTTTTATTAAAATCCACCTCTGAACAACTTCTTTAATGACCGAGAACTTCAAGTTTTTAATAATAATTTATTTATTCATAAATAATTTATTTCACAGAAATAAGAGATAGAAGATGGAAGTAATAAAAGGAAAAGAAAAGGAAACGAACTGAATGTATAAATGGATGATTACATGCAGCGAGTAATAAATTTACAGTAATTTGCAATTAATTAATTTAGAATGTAAATAAAAAGTAAACTAAAGTCTAATATGGCACAAATATTTTAGATAGCTTTCAGTTAAATAAAATTATTGATAGTTTCCAGTTTTTACAATATTAATCTATTATAATAATGATTTTATTAAAATTATTACAAAGATAGCTATACCTGAATCGTTCTCTTTGTTCGTGATTAAAATTTGACGATATAGAATCCTTGATTTCGCATAATTAGCTAAAAATAAATAAGCTATTTACATATAAAACTTTTCTTATATATTAATATATAAACTCTATTATATATTATTATTATTATTATTAACTATATATTAATATATATTAATATATATGTTATTATATATTAATATAAAACTTTTCTTATATATTTGATATAAAAGGCCGAATATAATATCAATATTGCAAAGACAACTTTATTTTATATATTTATTTTATATTTTGATATTTTATATTTTTCTGGCACACTAGGCTCGAAAACGAACTCACAGCAACTTTGTTATATGACGGACAACTGAAATAGTCAAGACAATAGAAATCATGACAGATAATTGAAATCAACTTTATTTAAATCTTATATTCCCAACAACTTTTAGCGCGTGAACAAAAGTCGTTATTCCACTAGTTTGCGAGTGATTCAAAAATAAAAATTGAATGGGATGGAAAATGAATCCAGTGTGCTAGAGTAAGGAGTTAAATTAAACACTAAACTAACTGAAACTAACTTAAACATAAAAGTAAACTTGAAATTATCCTATAACGTAAATGAAAATATACAAAACAGAGAATTACAAGAGCAGAGAATATTACAAGTATAATTTATCCCAATTATATATTTTATTACAGGACAAAAACATGTAATAAATTTCTAAGAATTTTTTGCTCTCTTTCTGAGATACAGGGTGATCCATATAAAACTTAACGATTTAATATCCTAAGAATTGCGCGATCAAGAAATCAATCAGTACAGCATAGTACAATTAGTTAAATTAATGTGTAACATAAATATCATTTGATTTTAACCTCGAAATCTTACAAATTCCATTTTGACAATTTTTTTGAAAAGACCTCAGAATATTTAGCCTTACGTGTGCCACCGTATATATCCGCAGTAGTGAGAGGGTTAAAGGATACTTGCGAATCAATTTATCGTGGGCTGTCGTGAACGGTCGTGAGCGATCGCAAATGATTGCAAATGGTCGTGGATGGTCGAGCAAAATATTTGCGAGCGATTTGTGCGGGCGTGTGTACGTGTGTGTGTGTGTGTGTGTGTCGCGATACAGAGGGGGGAGGGACGGTTGCGAAGACACAAGTTGAAATTGCGAGCTTACCGAGCACACCTAGACGAAAATTGATGGAGACGACGATGAGACGTCCGTGAGCGGCTAAGGCGGTCCCGTCGAACGAATTCCCAGCACCCCACGAATAGGAATCGCCATGGATGAGGAGAAGAGTCGGCAGCGAGTCCGCGATACTACCTGCAAACACATCGGACGATATTCTACCGCAATGGAAACGCGCAAGTCTCGCTGAAATAAACGTGACATAAATGCAAGGCGAACGAATGCGTTCGCAAAATTGATGAAAACGTCGCCGCTTATTCTATGATTTACGATTCGTTCCACAGCGACGGGAAAACACGCTTCATTTCCCGGCAATTGCAGCTTCGCTCGGCGGTTTTCTTTATCGCGTCACTTTCGACGAGAGTCGGGTTGTCCTTATCAAAAATTTCGATCGTGCGCTCCGTTTGCTCTCGTAATCCGCTAATTGACATCCCTCACCTCCGTCTCATCAAGAGAGTATCTGATAAACCAGGCTCGAACTATAATTCCCCCTTTATCTGGACTCAAACTCGGTCGAAGTGTGTTAGCAGTAAAAATATGTACGCGAGTCTTATCCGAGCGCGATACAATGAGCGATTTAGGCGCAATTATTAAGGCGCGAATAAATATTCTCCGTAAATAAGAGAGGTGCGGCCGATAAAAATTCCGAAAAGAGCTGAGCAAGAAGGTGCCACGGGTCCCTGCACGGCCACACGTACCAGAGATTAAGCTTGTATAACTTTATAAGCTCCCACGGCTTACACGACTATAAGCTCACGTCGACATTATCTAATTTTCAGTTTTATTAGTCAAATATGAAAATCGCATTAAGTGTATGATGAAACAATCGTGTAACTACATTTAACGTCAAAAACGAAACGTGAGAGCTGATACTTGACTTCAGTGAAGTCACCTGCTATTATTGATCATTTAAAAATAAATTATGTGCGCGGAAATATCTGCGAAATCATATATTTAACTTAAATAAACGTAACATTTATTTATCATAAATTAATACTATAAATATTGAGTCCTTGCTGCAATTTGTTTCACTTTAATAATAAAAACGTGCAATTTTAGCGCATACAAGTGTGACACTTGATTATTACGATATTTTTATAAGGGACAAATGAAATTTGCAATATTATTTTTTTAGCAAGTGTGACATTTGACTATTATGATAGCCTTAATATTATAAAGAGCAGTCGCATGTTTATATTCTAATAAACAATTCTGAATTATGTGAAATTCCATAGAGAATTTTTTACAATGAGATTTCCAATTTTATTTTATTTTTTTGACAAATATGACATTTGACTATTACGATATCATTGATATTATGAATCGGCTGCTTCCATAAAAGATCTCAAAACAATCTTTAAAACTCTCGTGGAAGCATAATATGAATTAAAATAAACATAAAAGTCCTATACGTTCATAAATCTTTTTTAATTTATATCTCAATAATTATTGCGAATATCGCAAAACGACATGGGAGTTTTGTGTTCACCTTAATTCGTACTGTGCCTCCACGAAAGTTTCAGAGGTTATTCTAGGATCCTGTAAACTCAAATAAAAAATTCGAAGTTATATGTATCTTTACATGTAATATTTTAAAATAAGATTTGCTTCATTCTCTCTTTCTCTCTCTCTCCCTCTCCCTCTCTCTCTCTCTCTCTCTCTCTCTGTACTCAATCAGACAATCCCCTATATCTCCTTCGGTCAAGCGTAATATCGAATCCTCGGTGGCATAGACACGATCGAAATCATATAATTGTCCGGGAACGAATGATCATGTCGTGCTAAGCAATGGCAGGCGAGACACCTGTTGCGATCCTCATAGCGCACGCTAGGCGACAGATAGTTAAGTAGGTGAGCGAGTAAACGACGCCATTCGCGATTTCGCCGTGCGTATTTTTCCGCTGGGAGTTGCGAAAAACCGTACCTACTTCGTCGCGACTTCTTCCTGTCCGCCTGTTTCGCGACCGCCAGATAGTATTTCTCGAAGCATTTACGAGCGACTCGGTATTTTTATTGCTTCCTCGGTATCGACTAGTCTCAGTCGTGGCCGCTCGATTTGTTCGTGTCGCGCCGGAAGTTAGTAAATTATAGATCTCTCTCTCTCTCTCTCTCTCTCTCTCTCTCTCTCTCTCTCTCTCTCTCTCTCTCT